GTCCAAACACCATCCGTTATACAGTCTGGTCTAGGCCTTGTGTAGGATTATACCTCCACCATTGCTCTGGTGCAGTGTTACACGGTTCATGTTGGGTGCCCCCCCCAGCCGCCCAACGCACTGGAGGAACCCAGTGTCTCATCCCAGCCTTCGACACCCCGATCTACTTCAACCGGGGGAGATCAGCGGTGGGATCCGAACCAACATCTTCAATGGCCAACATCTTCAATGGCCGACCCTGGAATTCGAACTCCAGATCTGCTACATTCTAGCCCGATGGTCTACCAACTTTTGCTACACCGGCATGTATGTCTGCGTAAATAATAATGAGCAAAGCCACCGCATGTTTGCACTTGTGTATGCACCTGCATTAGCCTCTCGAAGTGATGATGTAACCTGTCCTTACGGTTGCACACCCAATATGGACGGTTTCTAAAGCTTTCAGTCCCGCACTACATACACTACATACACGCGTGAAGCGCTTGACCAGCATCTGAGGAGGCCTCCTCAGCGGCCAGCTACTGCACCTGTCCACAATGCCTGGTCGACTTGCGACTTGTTAGGAATGTGTGCTTCATACAGTCGTCCAAATTCGTGACCTATCTCATCCATGCGCTTCTGCGTATACTAAGTAAGCGTCCCATAACCTCCAGGGTGTTTCCACTTGAGCGCACACTATCTTCGGTACATTATGGGCTAGTGTGGACTTCGTGTAGTGCTAGTGTGACGGTGTTTCCGCTAGGTGCACTAAGGAGCGCCGAAACCAAAATGGTTTTCGTATTTTGCATGTCTCAGCGCCAGGCATTAATTGCTGCTAATTGTCAAGGTCTGTAAGGAAAATATGGATCGTACGCTTTTCCTGTTAAACGCAGGCTCCATTACAAATTGGCGGCCTTCTGAGGCTGTCGGTGTTGGGCGTGCGAAAGTCAACGCGGCGTTTGCAGGAAGGAAAAAGATAGCTGCTCATGTCAAAGGTCTGTGGTCAGAAGGCACAAACCAGCTCCTAAAAGTTGCCTCGCCAAATAGTTAATGCTAGGATTGGAAGTTAATGGCAGGTCTGAGGTCCCATTAACTTTGTGACGCGCTAGTGTGGACTTAGTGTACGGGTTGTTTCCACTAGGCCTTACGGTTCTCCGCCAGGAGTGCCCCAACCTCCATTTTGTTTGATTATTTGTTTCTATCATTAGTTATATCAATATATGCATTTAGAACGGTGAGAGACGAGTCCACGACGAAGAACATTCGAACATAGTGTTAGTGTTCGGCCAAGTGGAAACACCCTGTTAGACAAGCGGAGGAGGGACCATGCGTCGTTCATCTATTGTTAAGTAAGCCTCACGTTACTTTGGTTTCGGAGCACAATTTCAGGCCTGCAGGACCCCTTTGGCAGTTGTACAACACTGGGCGCTAGCTATGTAAGTTGTCCGGCCCTTTCCTAGTCAGTCCCAGTCCCAATTCCTAAGAACTTGTTGACCCCTAGCTGCGTCTGTAAAGTTTTCATCAACCATGCATCGTGCCCTGGTGTATTCGGTAGTGATCGTCGCTATCTGTTAAACTAGGAGATTTATCTATAGGCGATGGAAAATTTTACAGATATGGCTAGGCTGTACAGCCTAGCTATAACCCAGTAGTCCCAGGACTACTGGGTTTCAGCCTAGCTATATCTGTAAAATTGCCTTAAAACCTGCAGGTTTTCAGGCAATTGCGCGCTCTTATAGCCCTCCCGCCGCTTGGCATGACCGTCCGAGGCATTGCCAATACCTTGGGCAGCAACCGAGCAGCACCCCGAGGCATTTGGATGAGTGTGATGCAGCTCACTTAACTCAGAACTCAAAAGCCCGGCATGGCTTTGACACCAACATGCAGTATATGACTTCTAGACATTTGCATGCTCTGAAGGCTCCATGCACCTAAAACTCAGCGACCCACAGCACGTACGCGGTCTCCCTCGTGACGAACGACGTAATTTCGGTTCCTTGCATGGCCAGCCAGATGCATACCTGATGTGCTTGCGTAAAAATGTAAACCGTTGTAGGTGTGGTGGGAAAAAGGTTCTCCGAGCACAACCCAATGGACGCCCGCAACAAGTAGACTCGACCTTCAGTGCAGTTATTCCCATGTTAGCTCACAATCATAACTGTAGCTAAATTTATTTGAATTTACATCTTTCATATCGCTTCGGGCAGTGTCATTCACCCGTTTTCCAGGCAGTACGGATTACAAAAGGACAAAACGTAAACACTGCATGTTGATTAAGTGCTCGTCCTGTAGTGTAGTACGGCAAGTGCGGCGCGGGAGGAGCAGACCGGAATTGGCCAGAGGACAGTGACTGATACGGTAGTGCGTTACAAAGATTAGCTGGGAACAAAGCGCTGAATCCAGACAACGCTAGTTCGCCAGTCAACCGTGCAAGCAAGCGCAAGTCAGAACGTCGTCTGTTGGGGATTTTGAATTGTTTAAATAGTGATTTACTTTGTATTCGGGACCCAGCTCAATAGTAAAGTAGATAAGGCGATTTGACGTTG